CTGAGCAGGAATCAGCAGCAGCACAGGTAACAGCAGAGTGGAGGAGAACAGGACTATTTCGCTCATCAGTCTGGACCATCTCGTATCTCCTCCCTCTTCCTCTGCCTGAAATCCTTTTCATTCCAGCTATTTATCTGGTCTACCCTCTGGTGGGGTACAGCTCTACAGCTCCTGGAGGTTTTCCCCATCACCTTTTATAACCTTTATACAAATTTTTTCCTCAAGTGAAACAGAATAAAGCCTTAAAGAAGTGCAGGGGCTAGCTTGTATTGCCCCACTGGTAACTGCCACCAGCTGCCTCCCGCTTGCTCCCACCAACTGCCATGAGAGCTCCGAGTCACATTAGAGAATTATAAATGTTTATTTCCAACAATCCTCTTCAAGCCACAGGATGTAAACTTCATTTGCTAATACCACACCCCTACTTACATTTTATACTAGCATTCAGAACAAAGACATGTTTTTAAAAATTGTTTTTAAGTGGCTATTCGGAAGGAAAATACAGCCATAATGAAGTGTGCGAACAAGGAAAAGAGATTCATATAAACATCTCCCCAAATACTCTCTTAACACTTGCTTACATTACCACCATTTCACTAAATAAAGGGATGTGAAGAAAGAAGTAAGAAACTTGGTTTTATTCTCAGGGAAAACACCTTTCAATTGAGCCACTCACCCTAAATGAAAATTCAAGGTTTTCTCCTCCCCAGACTTCCATTCCCGTGTCATATGAACCAAGATAATCAAAATACTTCTTGCTCACAGAAAACAATCCACCTGCCATGGTCGGAGACCTATAAAAGAGAACAGTAACTCTGAATTGAATAAAAAGCAAAAATATATAAATTATCAAACTAATGCAATGGATAAAAAAATAGACTGTATTTTTATTTTCCATTTTCTCAGTCTTTTCTGGATACAAATTGTCAGCCACTGAACGGTTATCATTAGGCCATTTAAATTTAATTTTGTATGAAAAACTGTATCTGAAACAAGCTCCAGAATGTATTAAAATAAAAATAACAATGAAATCAGAGAAGATAAACATTGTGTTAATATAAATTTTTGCAATCACAGTGTCTATGTGAGCAACAATAAATGATTTGTCTCTTACCTTCACATAGTAGAACATAAGCTTTTTTGTGGCAGAATTGTATTGGTCAGCGCTGAAATTATTAGTGCAGTATCCTTATATATTTTACTTAAGTAGTAAGTAAACAAATATTTGTGCTTTAATAATTAATAACAACATTCCTGATCCCATTAATATCAAGTGGAAAAACTCTCAGACATCAATTGAGCAGAATTAAGTAAATATAGCCCCTCAAGAGATTTTTTTTCTTTCTAAGATCTGCCCATCTTTTCTTCCCCCCCCCTTACTTTTTACTAGTTACACTACCAAGTTTGGGAAAAGAAAATCAGGGGTCAAGACCAGACCCTCATCAAAGACCACAAGGCACAGAGCAACAGTGCACTTAAGGGATGTACTTTCAGCAGGGCAGTGTGTGCACATATACATAAACTTGTATTTGTTCAATATTGCTCCTAATTGTTTACAGTCTTAGAAAAATCACCCTCTTTAAAGCGCCAAGCATATAATGCTGATTAGAACTAAGTTCAGTTGACACGTTATGAATTTTACTAAATTGCTGTTGAGGTAAATATTAACAAATGCTAGCTGCAGCAATCAGTTAATCTCCCAAAACTAATTTTACCAGCCATCTTTTTGAAGCAACACTGTTTTACACTGTCATACACTGTCATAAGTTGTTTCAAGGAATGGAATGAGATGACGTGAGACAGAAGGAAAAAAACCAAAACCAAAAACCCAAACAAACTCCATAACCAGTCAAGCTCTTCTGTCTCACTCCAGATCTCATTTTTCCAAGCGCAGCTGTGGGTGACACTGCTCTCAGCACTGCTGCTTTCTCCAGACACTTGCCAAGTTCACAGTCTTTGGGCTACCATAGAGCTTTACCCCTCATTGTTTTCCCCTTGGCATGCCAAAAACAATTCTTCTTGTCATGGAGAAGAAAAGCATCGTATTTAAACTAAAAGCTTTAAAAACATTTATTCTATTTTGAAACTTTTTTTTAAGGAGGGCTAATATATGCTGAGAAGGACTAAATTACTGCCTCACTTTTCCTATTTAAAAAAAAAAGTTCTCTCAGTTGAGGATAAAGTTCATTAATATTTGTTAAGTATTCGGTATTATTATCATAATAAGCGACCTAGAAAAGACTGAGAAAAATTAATCATTCTGTATTTGTTGTAGTCTGTAAGACAACAGATTATAAATAAAAGGACTAATAAAATCGTGATGTTAAAAATGCCAAACAGCTGCTTCATTTCTTACAATACGCTGCTGAAATACATCAACTTCCAAGTTGAACATCACAGACCCTCAGCTGTCAGGATTTTGTCTATAGTGTCTATTTTCCAGATGCATTGTTTGTACTCTTACCTTACCTCTCCTAAAAATACAGCATGGAGTGACAAATAATACCAACTGACTGCAACTTGTCTTAAAATAAAACAAAACTAAAACACACAAGGAAGGCATCCACACAAGCTCCTGTGAGTTAGCTCTTCACAGAAACTACGGTGGGTAGAGCTCTATCATTTCATGCCAATGAAGAACTGGCAAACTGGTTCACCTTTGAAAACACCGCAAGGAACCACCAACTATGGCTACAGCACAGATAAAGTCTTCAAAACTACTTTTGCCTTCTTACTGGTTGATGATTTTTTTCCCCCCCTTTTTCATCGTTAACCATGATACATTTTTTTACAAGGCGGATCTCTTTGCTTTTGCACAGAGGATATCCTTCAGTATTAGTTAATCAGTTACAACCTTTCCGTGCGCTGATAAGCATCTATGGGAGTTTGCCTGCAGGAATCAAGAGACTACTTGTGCAATAAGGATTCTATATGGAAGACTACATGGGAATTTCAGCTTTTAGAGCAGTATTTTTCCAGGAGCACAGTGAGCAGGAGCTATTTTGGAAAAAAGGGGAACTAAACAAAATATGCAATTTTTAGTAGTATGCTCATTTGTCACATATTTTTCAGCACCTGGCATTTCCAAGTGAAATCAAACACACTTATAAGAATCACAGTTTCATAAGATGCGTAAGAATTAACCTGATGACATCGGTCTTGGACTTCCTCCGTTTTTGTTCTCTTTCAGGGGTACTATGCCAAGTGAAGACCAGCCTCCAGTCAAATCCACCAATCTGTGGCTCACCAGCATTTCCCAAGTACTCAAATGTATTCCAGTCAATAACATCAATAACAGGGCAGACGACAGCTGATTCTTCTTCTGCAATCCTAATATGTTTCAAAAAGAAAAGGGTGACTTCCATTAGAAACTTCTCTCAAAAAACTAGAACTGTCAAGAACAGAGAATGCTTCCAGATATCAAACATGAAGTTTTGTTCCTTTGCAATTCATGCTGCAACATAAGGAAATAATGGCCACAAAAATAACCACCGATTTCTTGCTGAGGATGCATCAGGATGGAGTCAGCTGTAGGTACCTGACAAGCATCAATCTTCCTGGACAGTGGAAGCGAGGTGGGCCAGAGATAACACATGGAGCATCTGGCTTGGCTACCACGGCCAGCACCACATTCTCAACAAAAATGTCTATTTTGTTTTGTACAGGTAGCTGTGTTTAAGATATTAAGAGAGCAGCATGATTGTATAGTTCTGCAAGGATGAATAATAAATTAGCTAGACTTTTGGCCCTTAAAGTCATCCTTGTTCTTGTAACTGGGATCACCTGCAAAAAGTTATACTGAGCACTACAACAGTAACTCAAAAAGAAGCCATGAGCTTAAACAAGAAAAACGTGCAACATGGTAATTGGGTTTCCAACAGTGAAACACACTTGAAGGAGACCTCCAGAAAGCCCAGCAACATAGGAGATAAAAAGGAGAAACAAGATAGTACTGCAGAATGACATACCTATCAGCAAGGCTGATCTAAAGATAGTTAAGATCTTTATCATACTCAGAATACATCAGAGCTGATGACATTTCTTGCACATCTACTTCTGCAAAGAGATAAACCTTTTTCTCCCATTTCTCAACACTCACGCAGGGTTTTCTGGATTCCTTTCCAAAAGCATTACAAAAGGCAGTGGGACCCTTTGCCTTCACCTCAACTTCTGGAAAGGCCATTCTCAGTACTAGGAGAGATCAACTTCAAGCATGCAAGCTCAAGCTAAGGTCTTTCTCTTAAATCACTCTTTAGCAATCTTCTCTACACTAGTCTTGGACATCTCTTGTCAGTTCAGTGAAACAAAGTGACTTGTTTGACTTTAAGATGCTGGTACTTGTTTTAGCCCTGCATCTTCTGATTTCCAGAGGAGAAGGAAAACTGAATGTGTTATATTGCCAAACAAGGAAGAGATGTGATGTATCTGTCATTCAAGTTCCTCATGGATTAAGCTTAAAACCCACAGCCTGACCAAGGGGCTCTGACTCTGAAATTAGAGCAGCTTGTGGTGGTTAAACGCAGCAGAGAACAGCAGCAGTTCCAAAGAAGTATTGTCTGAGCTGAGAAAGACTGCCTTCAGTATGAAACAGTCTCTTGTTGCTGGAGGGACGATGCAACACAGCTGTTTTCTTCTTTATGATCTCCCCTTGAAATCCTGTTTGGCAGAGCACACAAAAGGGCTTATACAAATATTGCTATCTCCTGTCTCGCTTGCATAAAACTTACGTACAAAGTAACGAGAATGATATGTACCTAGAGGAAAAAAATCCCAACAAAATGTAAAAATTGATTTGTTGCTCCTGTAAAGGAAAAGAAGTAAAAATTAGGTAGCTGGCACGTGATTGCAGTTATAATAGGAATCAGGTAAGTGAAAAGCCATCACCTTTTCTGTAAGTTAAGAATTAACTAGATGGTTCAATGCACAGGCAACTTACAAATACAACTGTGTTTGCACTGCAAAATGAGAACACTGTTGTACTGCTCCCATAAATTTCGGTCAGATATGCCATGCAAACATCACCTTAGAGATGTACATCTGTATCTGCAGCAAGAAAGGCAAAAATTCCAAGACACATCCAGGGCTAACTTTTTACAGAAGATGATTTAGTACACTTAATATTATCCCAATCCTTCCTCAAGATTGCCATCTAGTGGTTTGCTAAAGTAGTGAAGAAATTACAGAATCGCCTCCACGCTGCATGTACTGTTTCTTTAGAGGACAGTCATTAAAACCACACTTATTCTTTGATTTTTTTACCGCTTTCCCTTTCTTCACACTATCTATACTGTTCATAGTTAACCCACAGTTATCTGGAATATATTAGGTGTGAAATTTAGAAATAAGTGAAATGACAATTTTAAGAAAAAAAGACAGTAAAACATTATTCCAGATACAATTTCAAATGGACGTGGGGAGTTTAAGAACACAAGTTCCGCTAGGAATCAGGAAGACTTGCACGCCTCAAGACAGCACGCGCTTTTGGAAGTCTCTCTGCAGTTTGCATAGGGCTGGTTTTTCTGGTCCTTCTGTGAAGTCTACATTACCTGGTGGGAATCTTTATAGGATGCAAATCAAACCACTGACCTTGCGGAAAGGATTTTTTTGTAATTCTATTTTAAAGAGAGCTGGCTTTCTACACACAATATCCAGCAGGTCTGATTCAGGTACTGTATCTATCAGTGTCCGCTAATGGCATCCAAGGGGGTAAAGACATAAGCTGTCAGCAAGAGGGGCAAATGCAATACAGCCTCCTGCATGCGACGTGGGGGCGGCAGGGTGCTGCCGTGAGGTGTACCGGTGGCTGAACCAACTGTAGGAAAAAGTGCATGTATGGCTGCTGGCTACACGTAGGTGAGGCTTCAAGAATATCATAGAATATTCTAAGCTGTAACAGAGAGCTAGTATTTTGGGTTTTAGGGAGTTTGGGGGTATTTTTGATTTTTTTTTTTTAGTTAATGGATGTTTTCTGAACTGCCCAACAGATGTGCAGTATAGATGAAAAACTACACAGCTGTAAAGTACAGTGTCCCAGAACAGATGGTGTCCAAGGAAAAGTCAGTGTTGACATAACATTAACTCCTCCCTATCCTTTAGATCAGAACCACTTTGGAAAGATGGACTCGCTCAAGACAAGGAAGATGGAGTTTATTGACTTCTATTCCAATCTGCTTATGTGCATATTGCCCTGCAATAGGGATGTCTCAGGGCACGCACCTTTCCAGACCTTCTTCTCATCCACCACCCAGCCTGACAGAAAACACCTTTGCCAAGGCAGTTTCAAAGCTGGGGGTAGGGTTCCTCTTCCTGAAAACAAAACTTTCCCTTCCTCTGAAGAAAAAGAGCAGCTTGGTCCTCGGGAGAAAACAAAAATCCACCTCCTGTTCTTCCACACTTCATTCGCTACCCCACCACCAGGAGACAAACATCCACAGTGCCTCACGGACCAGACTGCAGTAACCTTCAGTAAACATCTGCAAAGAGTGATTTTTCCACTACAGAAGCATGCCAAACTGCCTCTTCTCCTTCTGCAATGAGACAGAAAACCAGCCCGAAGCATAACCTCACCTCGCCAGCAGCGGCTCCAGCCATCCCTCGTGGCATTCGCAGTGGCAGTCCAGGAACGTCAGGATGTCGCCTTTCGCCACAGACGCCCCCAGCAGCCGGGCTCGAACCAGCCCCTCGCGCTTATTTGCACGGATGAGACGAACCTTGCGTAAGCCAGCCACGTAGTTTTCCAAAGCCTCCTTTAAATGTTCTGTAACAAAGAAAGAAAGAAAGGAAGAATATAGTTCTGGAACAATTGGTTCACGTCATGGTACAGAAAGCTCTTTTTTGAGTGGCATATTACTTACAACAGTGCCTTAAAGATACTGGCATTTTGAACTCTGGTCCTGTGTTCAGAAAGGACAAGGAAAAAGCACAGAACTTGGATGGACACAAGTTAAGATTACTTTTAAGAAATGGAATGCTTCATGTTTGCCTCTGCAATTCATTTCCAAATTGTTAATTGAGTCTCAAATGTTACGTAAAGCTTTTTCCATGTAAAAGTTTTATTCTTAACACGATTCACGTGTGGTGGAAAATGCCAGCATTGTTTTGTGTCCCATAAGTCAAATGAAAACAGATAACCAGGTAGTTCCTTACTATACCTTACACCAGTGAAACATTAGAGCAATCAAAACTTTCTCAAATTAGGAAACCTGAAATGCTTCAACCAGACCGGGGTCATCTATGTATGCAAGCACTCGTGTTACACCACAGCAAATGTGCTCTCCCATTCTAAACTAAATTTGGTCCAGAACTCAAAATTTTCACTGGCACACTACGAGAAAACCCATTTTCCAATCAGATGCCCATCTTGTACAATTTTATAGCACATCACCCAAACAGCATATCTTTTGCTCCTGTGACTGGCTGACCAGAAAACCCCAACAACAATCAACATTATTTAGAATTATTCTTCCTACCTTTGTCACTGTAATCATCTACAAGGATAATTTCTTCCAAAAGTATATCTGGAGATGTCTCAAGAACACTATGAACAGTTCGCAGAAGTGTTGACCAAGCCTCATTATAAAAAGCTATCACAACGGAGGTTTTCGGCAGGTTGTAGTAATCGTACTTCTTCTCTCTGCATCTGTTAAGGAGGGGATTACATTTAGTACAAGTGCAAAAGCCTTTGTTAACTTTCAGAAAACCATTCTCAAATAAAGAGTTCATATGCTACTTAGTAACTGTAAACAAGAATATATAAAGGATCTTAAAGAAACTGTATGCACATGGAAAAGTCACCCAAACACTTTCAGGAAGCTGGTCTTCCAGAAGACCCATTTCCACAGCAGCATTATGACTAAAATTCTGCAACCCCCAGAAAGGTCTAAAAAGAAAAATAATAGGAGGTATTCTGGGCTGGTGTATGTGCAGCAGCTGTCTTTGCACAAAATTACCCCAAGTAGAGGAACAAGCAATGGACAAAACATGCCTCATATTTGAGAAAGAAAAGAAGAAAAAAAAAAAAAAAATGAAATATAAAACCTCAGTGCAGTAAAAACAGTAGCATAAATTACTGATAACTTGTGCTTTGGAAAATAAAACAAGTGCTAGACAGTAAAAATATAACTGTGAAGGAACAGCAACATATAAAGTGGAAAAAAAACCGGCAACAGAACTGAGACATATGTACACTGAAGTAGAATTTGGGAAGACCACAGAACTGCCAAGATATAATAGTGAAATCCACAAAAAACACAGACATAGAAAAGCATGGGTTTGGCTCTACGGAGAGCCAGGAAGTTTGCAAACCTTTGGATTAAACTCCAGAATGTATCTCCTATAAATACATAAATGAACTTTCCTGAATGAACATAAGGATACCAGGAAACTTCTAGCTGAGCCAAATGTGTAAATTGTTAAAGATTCCCCTGGTCTGAAAGAATTCTAAAATAATAACGGTATTTATTATTATTTCTCCCCTTTTCTTAGGGCATTCTGTACAAGCAGTTTTGTTAAAAACCAACAGAAATGGTTTAGAGATGTTTGGATTTCCTTATGCCTCCAGCTTACTGCCTGGAGTCACCAAGGCTTGTACAGGGCAGAAGGACATACTTCAGCTTCTCCAGACTACTACATCATGAAAGATGCTGAAGCGGGTAGGACATCACTCCTACCAGAACAGAAGCGAGTCCTCCAAAACCTATGCTACGGGGAGCTGAAGAGGCAAACCAGAACTGATCAGTAGAAAACATGACAGTAAAATCCCTTAGGTCAATTTAGGGGCACCAAAATTCCCCAAAACACCCAGAAAATGACATTAAAAGAAAACTGCTTACCTCTAGCACGTTGAGAATATATTTACTGACTATTTAATGCTGCTGTGCTTGCAATTAAAAAAAGATTTCTTCAAAGTTTCTTTAAAGATTACACAGTATCTTTTAAGATCTGTGGTACAGAAAGGAAAAAAAAAAGTCTGAATCTGAATATGCCTAAAATTAAAATTCTTAGGACAAAAAAAAAGCCTGTAGAGTACTTTCATAATAAATACCTGCAAATGAGGAAGCAATGAAGAGAAATGACACTTGGGCAGAGGAAGCACACAGAAGGCTGCTTCTTAAACATGAAAGGAATGCTACGCAACGACACTCATCGTATATGATGCATACACATGCATGCACACCTGCAGATATACATCGATAGGTAGATACACACGCACTTAGACAGTGAAGTACAAAAATGCCCGTCCCTCCAGGCTGTAACTTGTCCTGAGGCAAAGAGGGGCATTCACACAGAGAACTGCCTCACACCGATGGCTGGTGACAGAAGTGACTTATTTTGCCAAATGTTCATGTATTAACACATGAAAAAAGGAGTGACATTTTAATTGACTTCTTTTTATTAAACACAGAAAAACCTACTCTATGAATCCAATTTTAGAAATGCATATTTACTTTAGTCTACTGAAAAACATTTATGCTCAGTACTGCCAGGAAAAAATTATTCTTGATATATCACAGTCACTTGTACCAGGTAATTTCAGTTCATTTCTTGATGGAAATGGGATCTTTACCTACCCATTTCAGAAAACTGAAGGAAAAAAGAAACAAATGGAAAACGTGCAGGAAAGCTTTCTCTGGAAAATGTGTCAGAAAGATTCATGGAATAATAATGTTGTATTCCATTATTTTAAAAAGGAAATCCAAAAGGTCTAAAGAAGCTCATGAGCCTAATTACAGATTAAAGAATTCAATGGATTTGCCTGAAAATTACATGCTGAAGACAGGAAACATAATTTGGCACAGAGCAAGGCAATCCCCAAACTGTTTTGTGATTCACTGTGCATTGCTGCCTCCTTCAATGAGCATACCCTACACCGCGGGAAAAGGTCAGCCTCTCACGGGGCATACCAGAACACATGTTCCTTCGGTTTCTGAAGTCAAGAAAGAGGCCAAAAGTAAAAAGGGCAGTTTATTTACTAGCTCCGTGGTGGAAGGCAGCAGGCGAGCGCAGAGAAGTGACTCGGCAGGGCAGGCTGCTGGCTGGCACCCGGGTCCCCTGCAGCACGCTTCCCCCCAAAAAGGCCGGCTGGACAAGGCTGGCAACCCGCTGAAGAAAGAAACCGCCTCTCACCTTGCATATTGAAACACACAGAGCACGACCAAAAGCTTAGCTTTAAGTACTTTAAGCTGACTTCGGCGAAAATTAATCATCACATTTCGACCAAGTAAAAATTCAAAACTTTTAAGAAATTAGGGGAAAAAAAAAAATCAAAGTTCTTCAACTTTTATGCAGATTTGCATGTTTATCTCAGAAATTATTTCAAAAACATATATCCCTTCCTAGATTATTACAAGATATTATTACAAGATCTCAGCTGCTCACAGTCTCAAATATTGTTTGTAAAGTGAAGCATAATTTTCCTCATCTTTCTGTTTTGCAAGAAATTTCAGAGAGTTTTGCCTAGCCTTAAAAAATAATCCCACTGGGGATATTAAAAACCTAAAGTGTTTAAACCCTGGAAAAACAATAGTGTAAGAAAATCTTTAAAAAAACAAAAAAAAAACCCCAAACAAACAACACAAATCCCTGAAATGGAAATGCTTACAAGTGTGGCTCATAACAATTAAGCAACATGCATATGGACACTAAACATTACCACTTCACAAGATACACAAGCTTCAAAAAAACCCCTCACAACACATATAAAACCTGACTTAAAGCCTAGTGGCTGTAACTCAGCTTTTCCATTTCCCAACTCCTATTTACAACAGAATCACCTTAGCAGTGCATCTTCTGGATTCACCTTTGCAAACTTCAGGATGTATTTTTATGCTCTGTGTCACCCACGTATCCAAGCTCCTACTTTCCAAGTGAATCATTTCACTCCTACTTCGAGTTATTCAGAAAAACAAATGCGTATCAGTTACAATATGTCATTAATATGACAGGGAGGATACAAACTGGTGACAGCAGTCCAAAAACGGGGGTTTTGCAGATGTGTATTTATAATGCCTATACTGCAAGATGCTCTCAGCTTCTGACTAAGGTGCTCTCCAGTGCCACCCTCAAACACGTAACACTGCCTTTTCCCAATATAGGGGATCATGTCAAGACAGGATTAATTGCAACTCACGTTAGCCATCTGAAAGCAAGGTGCTATCTTTGAGCTAATCTGTCCATAAAGACAAATCCAGAGGCGATACACCTCACCCTCCTTAGGACTCTTACCTAGCAAAGCCAGTCTTCCCCCCTTGTCTGTAGAGGTTTAACTACAGAGCAGACGCTTAACTTTTCTACGGCTGAAGTTAAACAACAGGAAACTACCTACAGTCCCTACTATTGGCTGCCTGATGCATCACCTTGAACCTAGTTATCATAACTATCGTAACAGTTCATAAAAACAGAACATAGACACGAGGAAATGAGATGCCTGTAAACGTGACATTTCCAAACACAGACAATAAATGCAGGAGCCCTGTCATTTGTAGTCTAACGTATTTCTTCGCTACTCTCATTACCTTATTCAACCACAGGAATTTTACTATTTATATAAATAATAATTACATATATTTAAAAAACCCACAACACTTAAGTTAAAAGTGTGTGCATGTTGAGTGGGATCGTTTCTTTCTGAAAAGTACACGTATCTCTAGTCAAGCTGACTTTGGGAAAAGTTACCAGATACCGGGATCAGTCACTGAGAAAAAAAAAAAAAAAATCCATTGCCAGCACATGCGAGCAGCTTTTTCGAAACCAACAAAACAAAGGCGTGCTTTAAATAGCACTTGGATTTCACTGAAAAAACACTGATATATAATGGATAACAACGGTAACGGGTAACGCGATGCAAAGGAGCGACATCATCTCAGCCTCTGCCCTCCGATGGCTCCTGTTCTCTGCAGCCCCACTAGAAAATCTACGAGCAGAGTCGTCGTGCACAGCGGAGGTGTACCCAGAGACAAGGCAGCCAGGACTGCCCCTTGCCACGTCCCAGGGAGTGGGGCTGGGACACTGCCCTGCTCCAGCAGCAGCAGCCGCTGCCGCCTGCTCCTTCTGCACCCTCCTTGCTTTCCCTCTCTGCCACGCTGGGTGGATGGATGTCCCAGGAATCCTCCTGCTTGATCACTGCGGCTTAAGAGACAGGTATAAAACAAGAAATGCCAAAACACAGCTTCTGTTTATCAATTCATAATAAAGTAAACATCTACATTTTAAAAATTCTAATTGTATTCAGCCATGAATATTTAAATTCCTAGATGGGAGGAGAGAAAGAATAACACTGTGCCTGAACACGAAACCAAGTTCCCTACGTAGCATCTTTCCTGGATCTTTCACTACAGCACCTACCTAAATGTCTACGTCCACAAAATGCAAACTGAAGCAAAGCACGTAAAGGTGTATCATCATACATCCACATTCCTGTGGCTTTTTGGTTTTTACCTTTTTACACAGAATTTCTAAGTCACAGTCTAAGCGAGCCTATACAGCTGACAAGTTTAATAATTTAACCTTGAAATCTACTACACTACAAAATCTTCTGTTAGCAAGTTTTACAACAGGTTATTTATTAGAAACTAAGGAGACATCAGTCAGGAAATGCCTAAACAAAATTAAATGGGCTATTTTGGACAACATTTGTGTCAA